ATAATGTCTACTTTAATAGATTTTTAACAGATTAGAAGTTACCACCGTTTTTGATGGAAGCGGGGGAGTCGATAAAGCGATCTGATTGGAAGCTCCGTAGTTACCAAAAAGCACATATAAGGTGACGCTTCCGCGAACAGAGGCAGAAAAAATCGAACCTCCGTCGCGAGTAGAAAGATAAAAAAAGGGAAACCTGAATACTATTCGCGAGTGCCGTCCAAGTTCGCGAAAGAGTAAACCGAGTGCCGAGCATCAGGCCGACTCTCCAGCGAACTCAAGGACCGAACGGGCTTCCCTCGACCAAGGACTCCGGACAAAGACATCTGCGGAGGGACGGTGAAGAAGTACATGCAAGTAGTAAGTGCTAGGCTAAGTTACCTCCGAAATTCCGCGAATAACCACCCGATAAGAGGATTTGCAATTGAATCTCTCTCTTTCTAATAAGGATCATAACAATAATATTTCAACCCGCCCTTTTTGATGATATTGTTCGATAAATTTTAGCCGGTTATACAATTAAAATAAAATACAAATTTAAGTGAAAAATTGCAATCGAACACTCCACGCCGCGGCCGAAACTCGCCGAACCCAGCGGAATCGAGCCTTACAACAGGTAGCCCCACTTGCGGAGCCGAGCAGGCCTACGGAACTCTCTCCAGCTCTCGTGCCGAATATTTTTTGTCACAACACACCGACACGAACTAACCACACACATACACACTCAGTATTTACAGGTTTTACCATTCCCTCTACCTCACACACCGACCCGCTCGCCGCGGACAACGAAGACGACACCGATTTGTGGTATGAATCTTTTATCATCATTACCTTCATATTCCCCCGTACCTCTCGAGGACGACTTCCTCGACAAACAACCTTTTGCAAACTTTTCCCCTCTTCGGGATTCAATTCCTTCCTCTCACCCAGACTCCGATCCGGAAGTAGACATAATTTACAAACACCTAACTTCTCGCCCTTCCCCTCATCTCCCCTCGACTCCGATTCGGAACTCGAGATCGAACTTGAGTACCTAGCTCCTCATCCTCCCCCCTCTCCTACGTCCGACAAAAAGCATCCCGAGCTCATAAAGCTCACTGACCTGACCCTCCTACCCCTCGCCCCTTCAACCTTCCGCGCTCTCGTTCTCCTTTAGATCCGAATCCAACATCCTATTTTTTGCGCCATGTCCTTTTCTTTCCCCGTTCACGATTCTCGGTACCTCCAAAGCAACACGCTCTAAATTTCAACACACTCACATCCGATCAACTCCGCAGAACCTCACTCTCTCCCTCTGAAATAATTCCCGTCATCCTTCCGAATGCCCGCTTTTATTATAATGTACAGACGGCGTCATTAATTCGAAGAATAGGCGCGGCGATCGGAGGGCAAGCGGAGCGGTTGCTCGTAGCGCCAACGGGCGCCGTACTAACTAACTAGTAGCAATCGGGTGTCCAGTTGTGGACACCCGATTTTGGGACTAATGGATATTTGGATCAACTGGACTTTTTATGTGATCCTCGCGCCTATTCTTCGAATTAATGACGCCGTCTGTACCTGTCGCAATTTTCTATATATATTACCCCCCGTCCTCTGCAGTAGCACATTCGATTCTTTAACCCTCTCTTTCTAATTCTGCCACGAGTCGGCAACACACACACACACACATTCTCTCTCTCTCTCTTTTCTCTCTCTCTCTCTCTTTCTCTCTCTCTCATGACACCATACACTTGCAAAACCCACCGGAGGCCCTGAACACTCACACACTCACACACACACATCACGTCCCTTCCTCCGCGTGATGACTCCCGTATTATTGTAACGCCTCACTCACAATCACATCACTAAGAAATTAATTATATAAATAAAAATTTTGCACTTCAGATGAATAAATGAAAGATTGTAAATGAACATTATCTAACCAGTTTTTTTATTTAAATAAGAAGCAAGATCTCGCCTCCGCACATTCCTATCCTAAACGATCGCACGGTCTCGTCCCTATTCCTTGGAGCAAACGCTCCAAACTTTAAAGGAGACCACCGAGAGAGAATTCACAGAACNAAGTAATATCGGCACGTGCCGTTGACCCGTCCGTGAGTATAAACAACTTGCTCGGCTCGCACACAGTTAGATTTCTGAATCTTCTGTGTCGAGCAATAAAGCTAATACGTTCAGCTGTTGCGTACCACCA